AGGCGGTTTGTGTTTGATGCATTCTCTGCTTGGTTTGCTATATCCTCCAGATTTTCCTTTTATCAGCTCTTGCTCTTCTTTTAACATCTTTGTCTTTTGTCACATATTATTCTCTCTTAATTTCGTTTATTCTCTCCGAATTTGATCTACCTATTTCTTCATTTAGTTTTTTTCTTTCATTTATAGATCTGTATGTTTCTGCAGTAAGCCAGTCTTTCTGTTTCCTTTTTTTCTGGCCCAAGATCTTTTCTGTTGTTTCATTATATACCTCTTTCACAAGGGTCCATTTTTTGTTGACTGTCTTTTCCTCTTCAGACAGTTGCTGAAACCTACTTTTTATTTCAAACTGGAATCCTTTGCATATTCTTGGATCTTTCAGCTTGCTGACCTCATACATCTTCCTGTTGCTTTCTTTTTGCTGTGAGTTTCTACAGAGCTTCACCTTTATTTTAGCAAGTACTATATGGTGATCTGAATTGGTATCTGCACCACGCATAACCCTTACATCACATACAGACTTCTTGTATCTGCCATTCACCATCGTCAGTTTGGTTCCTATCTCTTCCATAAGAAGATTCCCATGTAAGCTTGTGTATGTCAAGGTGCCTAGAGAGGGTTCCGCAGAAGTTATTTAGAGCGCACATTTCAGCTAACCTCATGCCATTTTCATTCACAGTCCCAGTGCCCTCTTGTCCCACGACTCTTTCCAATCCATCACTTGACTTTCCAACTTTTGCATTCGCATCGCCCATTACCATCAGTATATCATGATTTGGCAATATCTCTCTCTGTAACTTTTCGTAGAAGGTGTCCTAATCCGCTTCATCTGCTTCGTTTGTTGGGCTCTATATTTGTATTACTCTTAGCTTAGCAAAGCGGAGAAAAAGCGTGCGTTGATGATTCTGTCATTAACAGGATTCCATTCCATCAAGCTTTGTCGATTTTTCCTGCTAAGTTTAAGCCCTACTCCTCTATGTTGTTCCTCAGCTCCGGAGTACAAGATATGGTCTCTCCAGTGGTTGTCTTTAATTCACCAAAGCCTGTCCATCTTACTTCGCTCAGTCCCATTATGTCCAACTTAAATTTGTTAAACTTTTATACGATGTTAGCTGTTTTTCCAATTTGGTAAAAATTGGAACATTGTTCTTACGTTCCAACATCCGATCTTGGTGATATTTTTAGGTGTTGTTATGGATGGGATTTGCGTTCCTTTCAGGTTACTGGGGTCCTTACGGCTTTTTCTAATTGCCTCGTACTCTCGATTCCAAATGAAGATAATCCTCAATTGGAATCTAGCATGTCGCGCCTACCCTTCCTTCAGTGGTACTAATTGTTATAACAGTTTCCGTGATCATCTGATTTTTATGGAAGGAGGTGGTTAGCCTCAAGTCCAACCTCCAAATTCGTGTCTGGGGGGCCAACATAGTAGTTGATAACGGTCTCCTACTAAATCCAGGTTATGACCACAGTTTTCTCTCCCAGCTGAGTTGCCGGCCAAGGCTTTCGAGTCTGATCTTCCCGTGCGCCCTTACGAAGTTAGCCTGGGGCCAAAAGGTGCCCAGTATCCGTCTGCTTCCAGGTGGAGGCATCGCATAGGACTTGTTGTGGAGAGGCTATGTACTGGCAGAGGAAGACTTACAACCGCTTCCCTTTTTGCATTGCTGCTAGCCAGAGGTGAGGGCTGAAAGCGAGAGGTGGCAAGCACATAGACACCAACACCAAAACACTAGACGCATCACACAACATTTAGCAGACAGTATGTACTTAATATATAAGAAACGACGATTATTTACGGTTGTAACCCTCAACAATGACGCCTGGTGACACCCCCTCCCCCTTTTTTGCTCGTCAGGGATTTCTTGTTTACTTTGTACCCCTCCAAAATAATTTCGTAGGCCGTGCCCCAACATTAAAATTGCTTTCTACGGGCCTGTATTGTGAACCAGTCCTACCTCTCGGAGCCATGGGTGAATGATTTAAACAAATTTGAATCTGCAATACCTGGGAATGCTTACGTATTAATAGCGATTCTCTGTAACCACTTAAACTTCTTTGCCACGCATGGTCACCGATTTTGATGAAACTTTGCCCATTATTACAACTTGACACCAGAAACATATATCAAATAAAATTTCGTTGCTATGTGTCTTGGTTGCCATGGTAACAACCAGAAAAGTTGAAAAAATTGAGATTTTCAGCTACTTTGAATCTTTATTAAGCCTTAATAAAGACTAATAATAACAAAAAAACAATTCTCACAAAAACCTGACACCTTGTTGCCACTTATGCTATAAAGAAACTATTTAGAATTTATCTCTTAGTAAGTGGTAACCATGGGTACATTTGGAATACATTTTAGATGCTGAAAAATGCTGAAAAACGCTCAATATTCACTAATGATAGGTGTTAAATGATCAAACTCAATCAACAACCTAAGAGAAAACAATAAAAATATTTGACCTTAAGTAATTAGGTATTGGCAATATTATTCTAAAAATAACTTTCATGGTTGCCATGGTAACACAGTGTTACCATGCAAAATGTGTTGCTAAGATTGGGTTAATGCTACTATTTTCAGGAAAAACAATAAATTTCATGACTGGCACATATATATCCTTAGGACCTTGCAACACCGACAACATAAGAAAAATTGGGATTAATTGTTACTTTGCAGTGTAACCATGGAAACAATGTACCAGTTGGTTAAAGTGATATTTTTTGCTGCCTTAGGAATTTAATTACTTTTTATTCAAGAAACATATTATTTGACTCACCTTGAATAGTGCTTATTTGGTAGAACTAAAGTTGAATATCATATATTGATAACGTTTGTTGAAAAATACAACACTGTTGCTATGGTAACCAAGAAGGGAAAATGTTCGATTTTGTTAATTTTATATCAATATTAAACCCTTTGTGCCAGCTTTTTGCATCCAGTTAGAGATTGGGTGGCAGTCAAAATTGAAAGTCAGGTTAGTTGTTCATAATTATCAATCATAAAAGTTTTGGGAATCTACGTACAAAGGTACGTATCCAAGGAAACAGAATATTTTTCAGATTTTTATGCATATTTTCTCGGCTTATTTCCATAGCAACGCTCTATTTAAAGAATTGAATTTGAATTTTTTGAAATGTGAAAATTAGGGTCACATGAACATCTTTAAAAATTGATTATTAGTTATATAGAAATATGCTTTTTAAAAAGATAGGATTAGATTTAAACACTACGAGAGTAAATTTAAAATCCCTTCTTGGTATTAAAACAATGGCAACCATTGCCAACCAATAAGAAATATCATATTTCTTCCTTGGTATATGTTACAAGGATCTTTTGTCTATTATTTGCTTGCATTTCAACCTAAAATTCTTTTTTTTTTCTTAAGTGTATGATTATATAAAATTAGATGAGCAAAATTATTACTTTTGAATACTTTGTTTCCATAGTAACGTATTTAATAGTTGATTTACCAAACATGTTTATCATGCATTTAAGATATCAGGCCTTCAACTTTCAGAAACAATCATTGCCACTTGTTGGCTTTGCTGCAAAAGTTAACTGTGGGACTCTGAACATGTTGAAAAATGCCATATTTCAAACTTTAGGACATGTTGCCATGGTAACCATGACACGTAGCAACCAATTTCTGCCTGATTTGAGTTTACGGTATCAAAGACTTTAGTCATAGATAGTTTGGAGAAATTCTGAGACTATGCGTGCCACAGCTCCTATATAAAAGTTCAAGTCATTACAGAGAATGGTTCTTAATGTGACAAAAAATCCCGCTGTTCTTAATTGAGAAGATATTTAAATTTCCCCCCATACATATTCCCACATAAAAGTTTGACTTTTGGGGAGGGGGGATGATTTGATCCTTTATTTGAAATTTTTTTTATTTACTTTACCCGGGGATGCTCTGTGGCAAGTTTGGTTGAAATTGCCCAGAAGTAAAGTCCCACTGGACACCCGATTACTGTTGTTAATACATGTACAGTGTATATACTGAAACGCAAAAGAAACGCAACAAGCAGTAATCTACAAATATTTGAATTTTTTATCTAATGATTTTCAAAAATGAATACAGTAAGGTAAAACTCGATTCATAAGCATCAGAGATTTGATAAAAATGTTAAATTATAACCTTTTAACTTTAGAAAGTTATATATGAATGTTAAAACACCCCCACCCTGGCCATTCAATTACAGCGTGCAAGACTGCCATTTACAACAGTTGCAGCTTGATTTCTACGATGCAGTAGGTTCATCAATCTCGAGCTCTGGGCGAAAGAAATATTCTTTGCCATTTTTAAATGCCTGTTTTTCAGATGATGAGGTCGAATTTTCTCTACCCAGGCGCAGTGTTATACCCTTGGAATTTCACAGAAGTGATAAATTAAAAGAATTAGAAAGATTACAGGAACAATAAGTTACATGGTTCCAACAGACAAGGCTTGTTTGTAAGTCTCACTATTATAACCGTACTTTAGAAGAACTTGATTTTAATTGTATACCTGGAAATCTTTCCTATACTCATGGTTCATTTTCTAAGGATGAAATTCTTCAAAATCACATTTCAGTCTAATACTTCTAACATTCCAGTTCTCAAAGGTGAGTTCGATCTAGCCTACCTATCTAATGGATTCCTAAACTTCATAAAATACGAGCAAATTACCGGGTCCAGCAAGTTTACAGACGGATGGATAGGAAGCTATCATAGACAGACGGACATCAGACAACAGAAAATCAAAGCTGAATTGAGCTCATAGCTCACGAGAGCTGAAAATTGACCAGCAAATGTCTGAATGTCTGGAGGGGGACATACAGTAGGAATTGCAGTCCGAAAGGCAGGTGCGCGGACTTCTCTGTGTTAAAGGCCCCTTCTGTCCACCATACTTTCACATGTTTCATTCAAATGCGAACAGAAACGAAGTATGTATTAGATTAGGATATGCCCATGATTCTGTTATTTTCTCCTTTGAACTGCTTAACTCCATGTTCCAAACTGCAACAGGTACCCCGAAGATAAATGATTGCATAATTTCCAAAATACGGCATAGTGCTTGGAATAACTAGAATAGAGCGCTGGTGGTGTTCAAATTGCATAACGTGAAACGCATTGTTTGCAAAAGAAGCAATATTTAGAACAACCGTCTTACTTTGGTAAGTGTCAAAGTAATCCATAATTAAGATTCCTCTCAGGGTTAATTATGCTGATCAATTTTACAGTTTAAATCGATCGACATTCGATGCTCATCGGGTGAGAGTGGGAGGGGGCATTTAGCCAAGGGAAGGGGGCCGGGTGGGTAAGCTTTATTAATTTTTTTCAGTTCCATGACACTTTTGTGTGCAGAATTCTTTAATTAAAGTCAAGTTGATTACTTTTGTTTTACATAATGAATACACAACACGTGTTGACAGTATTAGATTTGAGTATTAATTAAATTTGTTATAATCTTTCCTGTAAAAAAACATGATAAAAAAAAATTGGATTTTGTTTAAAGAAATTCTTGACTGGTTGTAATGATTATGCTTTGGAAATAACACAAACACAGAATGATCATTTGACCGCTCAAAATTGTAAACAGACTAGTGTTTTGACAGTAAAAATGCTTCATTTCATAAACACATTCAAGTGTAACACAGTATGTGTTTCCTATTATATAATCTAGAGTAAATTCCCATGACTTTGATATCTTAAGTTATTAAATCTGAATTTGCTGTACACATGTATATGTAAGTATGGATGCAAAATGATGTGTCTCTTTAATTAACAATGACCTCAGGTGAATTTAAGAACAAATTTCATGTAACTTGAAGCTTTTAAGAAAAGTGTATACCTTTAAATATGCATTTAACATGTCTTACAAAGTATAGATATCATCTCCAGGTAAATATAAAAAAAAGTAATGTGGAGCTTTTAAGAAAAGTGTTTCTGCAGTTAACATGCCCTATAAGTATACAGGATTTTGTAAGTTTTTTCGTTTATACATTTCTCTTAAAGCAATATGAGCTGCAACTTTGATGTCAGAAATTTTTTTTGCAAATTAAATTGTAATTAACTGTTTCAATGACAGAAAAAAGAACGTTTATAAACTTCTGTTGTTCATATTTGCGATGGAAGAACTATTTATAAGCTTTGATTGAAGCAAAATTACATTATTGTCGTCCTGTACAATATTGATTTCTTATATAATACTATATATTTGATTGTACAGAATCCTTTCTTCCGAAACAATTTGATACTTTATTTCTGTCTAATCGATCAAAAAGGTTTAAAATACGTACAAATTTATTATAATAACACATTTCAGCAGCAAAATAAAATTCTCAAAAATGCAGCTCATATTGCTTTAATGGACTCTCCGTAATATAGCTGGAAAACTTTCAATCTTTGTTGAAAAGTAATGAAACCGACAAAAATATTTGATCTTGAGAGCATGTCATAATGTAAAAGGGGGTATGGGGGGGGGTTAAAACTTCTAAATATTCCTCTTCATAGCAGCTACACTGTAGCAGGGATAGACATTAACTTTCAGATTGACTTGCCCTTCGGGCAAGTGATCTCAAACTTTGGCTTGTCCGAATGGTAAACTTGGTTGCCCAAAATAAGGATAGAACTTAAGAAGAAAATTGTTTATTAATGTAAATGTTATGACAAGAAAAAATGTGACCAAATACACTACTGTCAATTTGGCAAGGTGAGGTACCTGAAAAAATTTCAATGCTGCGTTTGTACATAAATGTATATTACCATCCTTGTAAATTTAACCTGTTAACACATACTGCCATGTAGCAATAACCCTCCGTTTTAATAAAATTCATATTTTTAAAAATTATTTTTGGTAGGATTCTCTTGTGAATCGTGATTTTCAGAGATAACTGTGAAGCAACTCTAAAGGAAGATAGTTGCTACGTAACATACATCTTTATCTTGATCAGGATACATTGTGTTACACTGTACTACTATTTTGTGAGCAAATAAATAAACTAATTTTTAATAAGAAGTTAACAAAGATGTTAGACGAAGAGCATATTTACCACGAAAGAAAACAGAATAACGAACCCGATTTTCAAATGAATCCAGAAAGTGGCAGAAACACTACCATCGAATTCCGAATGCAAAAACAATGTCAGTCAGGTACCTGGGGAAAATCAAGTGTTCAATTTATTGTTTTATTTATAAATTAATGTATACTAAATAAAAACGTACATTTCTATAAGAAAAATTCACTTGCCCGTTCGGACAAGTACGTCGACAGTTTCACTTGCCCGAACTGAGAATTTACTTGTCCCGGGCAATCGGACAACCGCTAATGTCGATCCCTGTGTAGTACAAAGTGTGAATGAAGATGCACATACAGTAGAGCTTGTCTAATCCAGACCCCACAGTTTCTATTGAAATTTGTTAGATTGGATTATATTTCAATTAGATAACACTTTAAACAATTGAATATACCTTAATGAACAAACAGTTTTCTTTGTTTATATATAGACAACATATCAGAATACTTATCATCTGGATTAGACTATAGTTTTACTATATATGCTGCAAATATGCCTATAAACTATAACTATTCTGATTAAAAGAAGGCCTTATATTAGATGAACACTTACATAGCTGCTTTGATCAATACTTATTTCACAAAAAGGAGGGAAAAAATGTATGAAATTAACATGGTTGATACAATTAAACCTTCACCATTTGTTCATTTGTAATATTCATCTTCTGTTCTTAAACTCTTGTTCTCTTCTTAAGAATACCTGATTTATTGAAAATGCTTCATGTTTTACTTAAAAGCAAAAAAAAAAAGAAAATTAAACATGTTATAAAAAAAAAAATATATAACCAAACAAGCATTACCAAAAAAAAAAAAAAAAACTTGGGGGAGAAAATCTGTTAAAGTGGTTCTGATGAGCAAGAGTATACTTCTTCAGAAATTTTGAAATTCATGGCCCCTGGGTCAGGAGTTCTGGAGTTGGATGGGCTCTAATATGATCATGCATTGAAATTTTTACTCTGCTCTAAGAGAAGTTACTCCCCTTTGTCATTCACCCATGATAATGAATCACTGTAAATAAATGTAATTGTTAGGTAAATTGAATAATAAAAAAAATAATATACAAGAATTTTTAGTGTATAATACAAAGAGAAGTTTTATAGTTTTGAATGGTCAGGCAGACTTGTAAGTAATAGGTGAATAAAAATAAGACAAAATACTTTATATTTGTACTTTAAATGTACAGGGCAAGAGTATGGGGCTTTTGACGAGTTCTCTTTTTGAAATAAGTTTCCATTGCTTAAGATAGTGGTAGAGTTTAGGTAGCACTGGTATATACAGGCAAGTAAATAAGATCTACTTTCTGAGTTGTTGTTGATTACCAGACTAACTATTTGTTAATCCCTGATTGTTCTAATTCTTTGTTTTTGAGCAACATATCATCATGCATCTATCAATTTACTTTGTTTTATCATATAGTTATTAAAATGCCAGTCTATGGATCCTTTACAGGGTTGAATTATACTCAGGTGCTCTTGGGCCTCTTGTATATACATGTATACATAATGCTCTGACAACTAGCCAGCTAAGTTTTTCTGAGGCTTTTCATAATGAATGACATGTTCTAGAAGGAAGTAATTGAACTGAAGAAGCAATGAGGAGATATAGATGGGGAAGTGATAATATTTTGATATGGAAAGTCATGACTAGTTTCCACTACATGTACTTGTTGAAGAGGACTTTTTGGCTTTGTACGGATGTATAAGATCCTGAATTGTTCAAAGTCACATCTTTATTCTTCACTGATTGTCTTTAATTATTATGAGTTATTACGTATTAGCAAGAATGAAATTGAATTCAGTTTTTTAAAAATACTTTTATTCCCTCAATAAAATATCAGAAATGTGCATCATAGGTAGATGGTTGATAGCTACAAATCATATACATGTACATGTATATATATTTGGTAGTTAAGATTTATCAATCGAATGTATGTATTGAAAGAAAAAAAAACATTTTAATCTCACTGCAAGAAATGTTCAAAGAGCTATCATGGTTTCTGTCGTGTTATCAGCGTTTATGATCACCAGGTTAAAGTTTTCAAGTCCTTATTTAGCTTCTCATGTTATGAAGCATATACAGGTATGACTTTACCATATTTTTAAGATAATCATTTACTTAATCGAATACTATTCAGATTCTGCACATATATTTAATTAAGGTTATCAGGGTTAAAGTCGTAAATTAAGGTCAAATTTATTCTGAGTGACAGAAAAAATCATGGTATCCCACTTCTAAAAGGACATAATTCTTTATCATTAATTATCTGATATAAAATACTCTGGCATTCATCTTAGGGATTTAAGAGTAGGAAAGGATTTACAGAGAGAAGTTTAAAAATGCAGTTTTCTAAGGAATAATAAATCAACGAAGATTGTGCATTGAGGTCTAGCTATGAAGATAAGCTGAATTTTAGATACATGTACTAAGAAAACAGACAAATTTATAATTAGGGATTACATTTCAGATGGTAAAGGTTTTTTAAATGAAAAGATTATTTAAAATTGTTTTTTTTATTTATTAAAAAAAGGGAGATAACTCTTTAAGGAAAGCTTAAAGTCATAAATTATCCTGAAACATTAATCCTTACATACAGATAGTTATAAATGGAAATTATGTCTAAATATATTGACTAATATAAAACAAGTACATTATCTGTTGAGCATGTGCAAGATAAACAAGATGTGTTTGTTAAACACTGATGCCCCCATATGGCAGCTTATGGCGAAGGTTAATGTTTCTCAAATGCGGGCCAAAAGATAAAAAAATGTTAAATTTGAAAGCCCTAGCTGCAACTATTCAAAAGTTATGGCAAAGGTTAAAGTTTTTTAAAAGTAAGTAAAACCTCAAGGTCAAGGTCAAAGTTGTTGGTATCCAAAGGAAGGTCTTGTCACAAGGATTACATATGTAAAGTATGAAAGCCCTAGCACCAACCATTCAAAAGTTATGGCCAAGGTTAAAGTTTTTCGGAAGTAGGTCAAACTCCTATGTCAAGGTCAAAGGGTCAAAGTGGTCGGTATCCAAAGGAAGGTAATGTCACAAGGATTACTAATGTGAAGAGTGAAAGCCCTAGCACCAACCATTCAAAAATTATGGCCAAGGTTAAAGTTTTTCAAAAGTAGGTCAAACTCCTAGGTCAAGGTCAAAAGGTCAAAGTGATTGGTATCCAAAGGAAGGTCTTGTCACAAGGATTACATATGTGAAGTATGAAAGCCCTTGCTCTAACCGTTCAAAAGTTATGGCCAAGGTTAAAGTTTTTCAAAAGTAGGTCAAACTCCTAGGTCAAGGTCAAAGGGTCAAAGAGGTTGATATCCAGAGGAAGGTCTTGTCACAAGGAATACACATGTGAAGTTTGAAACCCCAAGCACCAACTGTTCAGAAGTTATGGCCAAGGTTAAAGTCTCATAAAATTTTGCAAAAGTGGGTCAAACTCCGAGGTCAAGGTCAAAAGGTCAAATATGATGGTACCCAAAGAAAGGTCTTGTCACAAGGAATACACATGTGAAATATAAAAGTCATAGCTCCAACCAATTAAAAGTTATGGGCAAGGTTAAAGTTGACAACAGACAAACAGATAAACAGACAGACAGGACAAAAACAATATACCCCCGGGATCTTTCGATGGGGGGGCATTAAAAACTACAAATAAGGTTCATATCCTCAATGATTTGCTCATGCGACAGAACTACATGTGCTCATGCTGTAAGTTGCTTAATAATACTTTTTAAGTACACTGGATTGGGCTTGCAGATATTTCTCCTTATTGAATTAAAATATTTTTTATTGAATCATTTAGGATAAAATAAAAAATGTAAATATAAGGAATAATGTCTGTTTTTTGGTTTATGATGATGATCAATCAGTCTGCTCGCATGATAATTTTATGCAAATTATTACGCAAGCAAACTGATTGATCATATCATAAATCTAAAAAACGTAGACAGTATTCCGTAATTTAAAGCTATTATGAGCAGAATGCCTTAACTACTGTTTTTAATTTTTTTCTGTATTGATCCTTCTTATATTTCTGATGCATGATATATTTACTGTGAATATCATTCAGAATTAGAATATTAATTCACTTTAGGGCTGCACATTCAATCCTTATACTTACAGATAGTTATAAATGGAAATTTTGTCTAATTGTATCGAGTAATGAAACAGAACATGTCTCACAGTTGTACATTCAAATTGGTTGAATTTAGAGTTATTATTGGCCTTAGCTAATGTTTTTAAGTTTTTCTGTATTAATCCTTCTTATATTTGATGCATGATTTTCATTAATTCCTTAGTTGTGAATATTATTCAGAATAGATTTATTTATTTATTTTGCCTTTTTTTTTATTGAATTGTTTTCAGAAAGAAAAAATTTATAATGAATCCAACTGATTTTTAATATTTTCTGCAGACTTTAATATTTTCTGCAGACTTAACAGTATGGCCTTTGAATATTGATGTTATACTATATCTATAGTCAATTTCTTAATGATTGCATTTTTCCTTTTGAGAGGTGTTTGGAGAACTGCTAGAATTGGCTGAGAGGCAGTACTGTAGATCATCAAATTTTGTGACACCTTATTTTTGTGAAACATTTAGTATTTTAAGTGAAAAAAAAAATCATAATTTTTTACGATTATTTTATCATATCTAGCAGTTCTCCAATTGGCCACTAAAATTTAATGATAGCAGTTTGTCATTTGTAAAAACTTTTTCTGCATAATGAATGCAAAGGTACAAGAGAAAACATGGTTTTCTTGCCATTGAAAATTAATCACACAATTGCCTTTTTTGCCTGCTCAAGAAATAGACGTTATTTGTAAAGGAAATTGCAGAATAAACTTGCTTCTTGTAAGGATTGACTTGGATATTCAAACAATTTTTGTCATGCTAAAAGCAAAGGAAAAAGTGTCCAAAAACTGGTCACTTGCCAGTTGTTAACTTATTAGGGAGACTAAGCTACATTTTTTGTAATATACAAGCATCTTAAATTCAAATTATGGCCCCAGTGTTAAACAGGGTCACAAAAGGTGAAAGTTCTCAACGTCAAGTAGATTTCCATACAAAAAGCATGTCATTGGCTATTATTTATCAGTTAAGTAATTGGTGAGCATTAAATATGCTTTTTATTGGAATATTGAATTCTGAATTGAAGTTATTTGCTCTTATTTGGAATTGCAATGTCAGTTCGATAGCGTTCATTTTGTCAAACTTTTGATAGCACCATGACTCTTGTGAGCATTGTGGCCTATGGGCCTCTTGTCTATAAACTTAATGCATGTAAATTTTAATGGTCATTTGATGCAACCAGGTCACCCATGACTCTCTTTTTTATTGTGGATTGTATGCAGTGGTGCTTTAAAAGATCATTGGCCTACTTTAAAGCATTTAAAAAACATTTATTCTTCGTTTTCCTTTTTTTTTTTTTTTTTTTTTTTTTTTTTTTTTTTTAAAAAATAACAATTATGTTTTTGATAAAGTGTCAGATTGATCCCCAGAATTTGATCCAGGTGTCGAGAGTGTACTACCTCAAAAGGCACACATGATGTCATTAAACGTAACACTATTATTTGAGTTTTTACTGGTACAGAACATAAGCTAGACATTATGTACCACTATTCATTTCATTGTTGATATTCATTTAAAGTCCTGCCCTTTGAATGGTAAGTTTTGAATTTTTTTTTTGTCCACCTTTTAGGCTCTTGGCTGTTAATCAAACAAATGTGTGTTTTTGTTTAGTTCACGTTTTTAATGATTAATTTTCTAAATGATGATGACAGTTTAAATGAGAAAATTTTAATGTAAAAAAAAAAATCAACTCTTGGTAGATTTTTTGCATTGAATGTGTAAAAATTAACTTTTCTATAAAAAAAAAAGAAACATAGCTTGCTTTTGAACTACACTCTGTAATAAGAGCCTATTGCTCTGAAGAACACCTGTTTGTGTGGTTGTCTTTTTTTTTAAACCAGGTATGTAAACCTATCACATTAATTATAAAAATCAATGACTAGATTGTATAAAGTCATGATAGTGCTGCACAGGATTAAAATGGATTTACAACTGAACAGGTAGCATATGTTATGGAGAGGGTGGCTTTAAAGTCATTTTGTTAATGATGTGGTTAAAACATTTATCTGTTTGTCTTGTCCTCTGGGGCTTAATTATGAGATTCCTTTGAAATAAATGTGAGGTTCAACATCCTCATTAGCTGTACATGATGAGCAATATTTAAATCAGAAGGCACTGCTTTAAAATAGGGACTAATTATAGACCCAGGACATTTGGTCAATATTTCTCTGTGGCTCAATTAAATATATTTGAAATGTTAATATAAGTAATTTATTGCAGTTTTGAAATAAATTCAAAGGAATATGAGCCAATACTAATTATCAGTCAAACACAGTTTCAAGAAGTTCATGTACTAACATGCTCTAGGAAATACTCCTCTGTGAAAAGAATCGGGTCATACCTTCATGAACTTTCAAAACCAGAAGACATTTTTGATTACAATCTTTAAAGGACTAGCTGTTATAGGTTATGACAGTATCACTGAATTTTTTATTTATTGAGCTAATTGCAGATGAATAGCCAACAATTCCCTCCCTTTTCGCACTTTTATTTGACAGTAATATATCCCGTCCCTTAACATTTAACAATGAATTATAAGAGATTTATTGTTTGTGTTTAGTTTAATGTTACTTCATTTTATGTACATAATTTCCTTATTGCCACTGTACACATATATTAATTACAATCATTGCAAAGACTTATTCAGCATACTAAGGACTCGGTTTTATTTCTCTTTCTCAGACCAATCTAGATGGGTGAACACATCTGGAGGGGACCGTCCAAGGTGAACAAACAAAATTAGAATTCTGATGCAGGTTCATGAAGTAAATTCATAGACTATACATACATCTTGGATGCATATCTAATTTATTCACATGTATAATTGTATGTAAAAATTCAAATTGTCTGCTCTGTACGACATTGAATTTACATATTAACCCAGTTTACAGCATAATGTGCAGTAAAACATTGGTAAACCTTGAACAAAATCTTGAACAGTTTATTAACTGTAAGAAATGCATTTCAGTTTTGAAAGTTCATGTATGTATAACCTGATACTAATCACCCAGTTAATATTTCAAGATAGCACTCAAAAGCAGTGATAACACTCTTGTAACATTCAAACTTTTCAAATTGTCTTATAGGGTTTATTTTGGCTGAAAAAGTAGTTCCAATTCTGACTTAGCTATATATTATTACTCATCATATGTGGTTCATGAGGATATAAATGTAGAATTTCCTTTAAATTATTCTAAAATAGAAATTGTACCTTAATATGTAAATATATTCCTCTAAATGTTCAAAGAAATAGGCACAATCTACCTATATTTATATCTAGGAAGTAATTTGTGTATTTCAGGATATATCAACATATATGGAATTACTTAGAGTTTTCCTAATATAGTTCTAAGAAAATTTTTAAAAGTTTCTTAGAAGTTTTAATGACATTTGGGAATTACTGCCTTGTGAATTTTCACTTTCATATACCAGGTGCAGATAAGTTAGCAGAAGATGAAATCCACAACATGATTTTTACTATTACTTGGATATGAAAGAAAAAAAAACACCCAAAAATTAGCAAATTATCCAGTCATGCAGTAATCATATTGAATTTTATCCTTTTTAGGTTATTGGAAAAGTGAACAGAAGATTGAAAGATGGTTGCTCGACAGAACTGGAGTAAGAATGTAGAATTTTTGCTGGCTGCCATTGGGTATTGTGTAGGCCTGGGAAATGTGTGGAGATTTCCATACCTCTGTTACAGCAGTGGAGGGGGTAAGGTGTTCAAATTTCTTAAAATAGCAATGATGCAATGTACATGTATCAATCCTCATTATCTTGATATTTTATTACATTATTATAATTATATTATATCGATATTTCGAATACCATGGATATGTCAAAGTGAATTAGAAATCCCAACCACCTTTATGTATTTAAACCACAATATCTTGAATCCTTGAATATTTTGAAATCTACAGTTCGAGATAACAAGGTTTGACGGTAGTAAAACGTCACTATTTATAGCCAACCTGATGCTTAAGAAAAGATGAATTGTTTGATAAGACCTCTGGAAATTTTTCAACCATATTGATGTTGCCTCTGAAAAGTCCAGTGTACTAGCTGCATGGCTTGATGAAATTTCATCAATTTAGACTGAAAGGAATGGGGCTAGCGTTTATGAATATTAAAGTCTTCAATTTTTTTTTTTTTTTTTTTTTGATGATTTTACATGTTTATTGCCTTTTATATTGCTGGAATCATAGAGTTCTAGATCATGGCTCTTTTGAAAATCTCAGTTTTCTATGGCATCAATAAATGCTGTTGTACTGAAGAAAAAAAATATATTACGTACTTGAAGAAGTTTGACTGCTATTCACAATATGAGTAAAGATTTTTTTTCCAATTCAAAGATTGCAAAAGGAGCACATTTATAATTTTCCCCTTTATGGAAGAAGTCATATTTTAAGGACATGAAGTGCATGAATTGGGACATCGTGTATAGGACAGGACTAAGTTGATCAACTTTGGGAATAATGAATCCTAAGAAAGGTTTAAAAGTCTTTGTTAGAATTATTGATTTAATCTGTGGTATTACTCAGCAGTACTTATATGGATCTAAGTGCATGATATGTTGAAATAGCCAATTGTTTTCAAAACGAGAAAGGAGATGAATGAAATTTCATTGAGTTGTCCGGCTGAGTAAATGTATGGAACAGCATGTTTGCAATAAAATTTTTATGTTCATGGTTCAAAATTATAAAGAAAACCTTACAAAAATTAAATTACATCAGGTGTTTGTTTGGTTTTTTTTTTAAAGAATAAAACAAGTACATGTTGAGTTGATATAAAATCTTAACAATGATTAAAAGAAAATTGATTTGGAATAATGGGTGCATGTACTCTGTGCATCAGAAAAGAATCAGCAAATGTTTTTTATTTAATCATTTGCTTTTGTTTTTGGTAATCAGCTCAGAATTTGAAAGCCTTTTAAGGGGCCATCTTTGTTAGCCAAGGGTTTTAAGTCCACTCTTCTCCCAGGGAGTGGTGTGGACCTAAAATCTTTTAACTTGTGAAGGTGTGGGGGTATGGTGTTCAAGTTTTGCAGCAGATTGACTTCATACTTATGGCCAATGTCAGGATATCCACCTGAGATCAAGGTCAGGTTACAGTTCTGAGGGAGAGAGAAACTCTGGAGACAGGCTATCACCTGTATATAGCAATAAAACAAAGAATAATGATATTAAAAAGTACTGAGACAGAAATATCATGTTTAATTTATAACATATATTGAAGACCAACATCAAAATGTGGATACCCGACAACAGTGGTAATCATTATGTCTCTCTGTCAATACTTTTATGTGGCATGATCCTTGGGTACCTTTTAATGGAAATGCTTCATATTCATGACAATAGGTTGATAAAGAAACTTACAGCTTTTAAGGTCATGTTTCTGTCAAATGTCAATACTTTTATGTGGCATGATCCTTGGGTACCTTTTAATGGAAATGCTTCATATTCATGACAATAGGTTAATAAAGAAACTTACAGCTTTTAAGGTCATGTTTACCCTATTAAAAGTCGAGGCCAAAAGGTCATAACTGAGGTCAAATACAATTTTGGTAGCAAACACTGACTGGTTTTGAAAGCAGTTATATATTTTATATATGGAATTGAGTCTGTATGTTATATTTATGTCCATTTTCAGGGGCATTCTTAATTCCATTTTTCCTTATGCTGATCCTATGTGCCATTCCTCTGCTTTACATGGAGTTGGCTGTTGGACAATACACACAGAATGGGCCAGTAGGGGCCTTAGCCAAGATCTGTCCACTATTTAAAGGCAAGTTTGTCAATATTCTAAGACTATGTTGAATGGAATGTTATAATTCAGCTTATAAATTTAATTAAAGTAACTGTTACAGTAGTAGATATTTTCAGAATAGATAAATATACATGTATTAATTTCTTTTATCGAATTCAAGTGATAACATAGAATTAATGTATGAAGAGCAGTGCATTTTCTGTTTAGAAAATTAAATCATATCTTTTGTTGAAATATATATTAGTTACAGCATAACTGTGGAACAAAATTTTAGTACTGTCTTATTTTGTGCCAAAGATATTATTGAAGAAAATGAATCTTCCATAATCCAGATTTTTGTTCTATCCACCTCAAAATTCAAACAACTCCTCTTTGTCCAAAGACACGTCGCTATTTCATTAATCTTCACTGAAATCTGATCTTGTCTTTGAGAGTCAACAAAGAAAATTACTAGGTATGTTTGGGAGAAGAACTTATTCACTACTTCTAAATGAGTTAAATCAAGTGTGCATGAGTCTAAGTTGGTACCATTTACACACTTGTTTTAGGTGACGAAAAAGAAAGCTCTTAACAGCCCGCATATAAATTGCCAAATTCTAATGTCATGAAAGCCTGATCTTAGCTCCTGACATTAAGCTGGCAAATTAGGGGGTTACACTATGTCAGTGATACTTTTAATTAAACGATATATTTGACACATTGAAATTCAAATCTAATTGCTCATGTCTTGGCTACAACCATTCATGCTAGGTATTTGGGGAGAAACGGAGCTGGATTAAGGGTTATCGTAAATATAAACTAAGAATATATAATTCTGTGGTTCTGTTTTTATATTCAATTGATAAGGAAAGAATCTATTCTTTTTACTTGTTATTTGATACATGTACATATATGTTAATCCATTTTGTCTGATTTTCTTTGTTATTTTAATTCAAATGACAAGTTTCTTAAACTCAAATGCATGTATAATTTCGTACTATGTCAAGTTTCAGTCCAAATAGAGAAAATCTCAATAAATAAAGGACCACAATTAGATATATTAGTATGCAAGCATCCTCTTGTGTTGTAGATACAAGCTTGGGTAAGGCCATATTTTACATGTAATTATATATATGGGAAAACATCTTTAAAAATCTTCTTAAGAACATGAACAGCAGGGCTGCAATTAGTCATTTTGAATGTAAGCACCAATCAGCATGTAATTTAGTTTCAGATTTGTTGAGAAATCCCTACATGGTCAAACCATCATGTCTATCTACTTTTCCATGACAGAGCCTGTGATATTATTATATCAGGCTCAGATGAATGATCTTGTGAATAAAAGACGTGGTATAAAAATAAAATCAAACTATTGATAGGAATGGTTTTTAGCCTTCAGTACATGTATATGGTTACCATGGTGATTATAACCTACATCTTTGTCAACATGACAATTATTTTCAATCCAGTTATGAAAATCATTAATGATAAGGTTTTTTTATTTAGATTTAAGATTTTCACCTTTGAATTCCCTGAGAGCAGAAATATCAATAACATTTATCTGATTCCTGATTTCTTTATCTGTCAAGCATGTGTTGACTCGGTGACTGACCCGTAATTGTTGGGCAAAGTTTGCGGATACTAATAAAGTTCACTGAACTTGTTGAGTACATGTCGTGTGGAAAGCATAGCTAGTTCATTTAACGAGGTTCGCTCCTGAGCTTTTGAGCAGATTTTTATCTTAACCTATATTTCAAAAATTCTCCATAATGTTTTAATTCTTACAATAAATTTGGATTCTACAATGCCAATTTAACTATATTCAGTTAAAACTCAATGATTAAATTCCATACCAAAAGCATTAGGTAGGAACTATATTTTGTGGCGGAAGGTTTTTTAGAAGAAAATGATCATTTTTTCTCTTTCGAAGTATCTAAAGTATGTTAAGTTTGGATTCCTATTTTTACATGCAGTCTGCACACATAGTTATTTTTTGCAGTGGACTGTTTCATACTGGTCCTAAATTATCTATTAAATAAACTGTCATGAATTCTGTCATCATATTTGATAAATATAGCAAATATATTGTGAAAATGAAGAAAAAAATAGCCCTAATTTAAGCTTAAAATTAGCACTATTTTAGTAATATCTAAAAATTAACGTCACAGACCCCCACTTTTAATTTTCTTTTCTGAATATATACGATACTTTTAACCATTCTTCTTAAATTCAGTAAAATGTCATTACTTTCAAATGATTTTTTTGCTTGTTAAATTTTTAATGCCAGAAAACTGAAAATGTTTGAGTGCAAAAAGGTCAAATAATTGAACATGCGGAGTAATTTGAAAATTTCTTCGTTGTCACAAATTTTAATGTGTCTATTTAAGATAAAATAAGACTGTTTTTGTTCCCATAATTTATTTGAACAAAAAATATTGAAGAAAAAACTTAAAAATTGATTTATGTGTAAGATGTATTTTCAGTGCAAAAAGGTCAAACTAAATTCTCTGTAGCACCAAAAGAAGCGCATTGACCCCCATTTTTTGTTTTGATTTTTAATAAAGCTATGTGTATAAATTCTAAAAATATACTTGATAAAAAATTCTCATTACTTTTGATGACAGGATCCAACCTCCTTAAAGATGAGCATTTACAGACAATGACATGCAACCTCTAGAGATTTTAAAATGCTGTAGAAGAAAATATGTACAACGTAAATTGACTGTAGTTTTTATGGCTAAAGAACAGAGTAGGATAGTAAATAAAATAATCTAACAATGAAAAAATTTCCGCAGTTTTAATACATTATGAAGAGATATTTATTTTTTAAGCATTGTTATATATGAAATGTGAAGATAATGAACACTGATCAATCTCAATAGTCAATTTAAACAATACAAATTATGAGCAGAGCCAACATGGACCTCTGAAAACAGGTTTGAGAAAGAGAAAGAAAAAAGGAAAAGGGAGAGAGGAGTGCTGTAGGGTGGAGAAGACATAGAAAAATCTTTTTTCTGGTGATTCCTCCAATCCTCCCTCCCTGCCCTAAAAGGAATTTTGCATGGAAATATTCAAGAACCTGTAAATACATGCATGTTGGCACATTCCACAGTGATAGTTATAAGTGTTTTGACTGTATTTTTTAGGTGCTGGATTGGCCACTGTGGTGATTTCATTCCTCTTTACCACCTACTACAATGTTATCATTGCCTGGGCCTTCTACTATCTATTCAACTGTTTCCAGGCAGTGCTGCCATGGGTTGGATGTAACCATGACTGGAATTCCCCCAACTGTTGGGATGGCACCACCCAGCAGAATTTCACCAATGGAACCACCAATTCCTCCTATGTGGCAGCATCCGTTAAACCAAATGGAAGTATTTCCCCCACAGAAGATTTCTATCAGTGAGAATTATGTACACTACAGAGCTGTTTACTATTACAGAAATTCCATAATTGTCCAGGAATTTAGTTTCAAAATATGGATTAAGGATTGACCTCTAGAAATTACACTTCTGGGATATCTCCAAATTTTATTTGTCATAGATCGTATTAGCTTTAGAAATGAAAAGCACCACTTTATATTCAGACAAAACGGATAATAGTGTAACAATCAAATGTGAGTTATTAAATTATCCTTGCTGATGAAAATTAGATTTATGGTATACATATTGTAGTGCCAGTTCTGAAGAACGTAAACACAAGTAAACTGTTTGCTTTTCCCATCTCTGCAGTTTAACAATGGTTATAAGTTTTGAAGTGTATTAGAGATTTCATTTTTTTTTGGTCAAGGTGAAAGTGAAAGTCAGGGATAGAGTTTCATTTTAGATCAAGATTAATTTTTAGAGTTAATGGTCTGAGTAGCCTGTTTCATAAAAAATCTTAAGTTTTTGCGTAAAATTTTAACATAAGAATATCTTACATGAATCTTAAGTGTTTTTCATAAATGCAATCGTAGCAGAATACAGATTTTTTTTTACGACAAACTTTTCTTAGCAATGATCTCAATTACGCTTTATAATCCTTTAAAAAAAAGGAGTTAAGAATAAAAATAAAGCAAAATTTTCAACTCCTGAAAGTAAAACAAACGTTATTGGCAACAAATAGAGAGTGCAATCAGTTGGGAAGCAAGAAATCTGACATCACAAACAAAAGTAGCTAAGGTCATACAGAAATCTTAAGAGTAACTGCCATTTTAAATATTTTGCAAACTACATGTATTTCATTTCGTTTTTGGACAACAGCTAAGAAATATTTTAAAATGCTGTTGTAGTGTGCATAAAAAAGTTCGATTTAACATGTATTTGGTCTTTATCTGTTATATTTTTATGCCCCACCTTGAATATGGCCGGGACATATAGTGTTAATGTCCGTCTTCTGTCCTTCCATCCTTTCATTTGTCCTTCTGTTGCACTTTGCATTTAGCTAAGTTCAAAACTCAATTTCAAAGAAACTATTCAAGATATGAGGGGCATTTGAAAAGTTCTGAGAACTGTCTGATAAAATATTAACCGTTTAACAGTAATTACTTAGTTTGGTATCATTGTACAGATCACAAAAGTATACACTTATTATGACGTCACTTTGTAATTTTTATTACGTAATGACTCCGAAAATGATGTCAGAATCTCGAATGTCTAGCATACTGACCATAAAAGTGACGTAACAAGAGACACAATTTCAGTGAAGTAAAATTTTAAAGTCAACTTTTGTTCCTTACTCGGATGCACGCTAACGGACTCAACTACCAGTTGGAAGAATATTTACATAGACTAAAGTCTATCATATGGAGGTCATATTCAGGAGCTCTTGTAGTTCTGAGGTGGTTTAAGAGTGTGTCAAATATAGTATGTAATTAATGAATCTCGTGCAAAATATTGGGTAAAAAAGACGATGCTGTGAGAAAAACACAAAGTTTACAATTACAGGAGAATAGTGGACGGTGTTACAAAATTTGCTGGCATTCATTGGTCAGGTGTTTTAAACTCACCGTAACTCGATATATTTGAAAATTTTAAATCATGGAAAATAAATAAGATTGTACATGGCAATGAAACTCAGATTTATTTTTTTGAGTCAAAAATCAAAAGCAATAGTGAGTTTTGGATTGCCTAAGTTGAAATAATATGAAAAAATACGCAAAGAAACTTGTCCGGGGGAAGACTTTTGTACGTCATATTCGTAAACAGAAAGAGTCCTGATACTCAAGATACAATTGTGGAAAACTACATTATTACAGTTTTATACAGAATATCTTTTGTTTAATACAGTGGAGAGCTATATGATAGACCGAAAATCCAGCTATATCATATAAATAAAAATCTTTTATGAACACCTAAGATAACAGTACTGTGCTTATTAACCAAGCAAAAAAATAAAATATGGAATTGCTGATTTACCGTACCATTTTTACAATCTTACTCTTCCTCCATGCACATTTTCTTTGAAATATCTTTCCAAAGAAGCCTTTCACAGCACTTTTTCAATGTTCTCATGTAGACAAAAAACGTGACTTTTCAGTATGCTAAACATTCGAGATTCTGACGTCATTTTTGGAGCTATTACATCATAAATATAAGTAAATGACGTTCATATAAGTGCAAATTTTCCAGCTCTTTTAAATGGTATAAAACTTATTAACTTCTGTGAAATGGTTAATATTTTAGCAAGCAGTTCTCAGAACTTGTCAAATGCACCTCGTAATTTTATCAATCTTCATATGCTGATACATATTGATAAAACCTATTCAACTGCATCAACATTTTTTGACCTTGATCTTTCCTTTTGACCTTGACCTCACTTTTCTTAAATTAGTGTTTAGCTCAGCTTTTAATAAACCATTCAAGATATTTTTATCAAACTTCATATGCATGCTAATACATACTGATGTAAGCTATTCAACTGCAGCAACATTTTTTGACCTTTCCTTTGACCTTGACCTCACTTTTCTTAAATTTGCATTTTGCTCAGTTTTAAAGAATACATTTATATCACATATTTTTATGTAAGCTTATGCACTGATACAATATTTGGTGAAAATTTATTGTCTATATTCATTTCTTTTTAGATTTCAATTTTATAGAATCTTTTTAAGATATTCTCATCAAACTTCATACACTAATACAAATTTTCATGTTGCATTACTAAAATACCTTGGACAGGGCATTCATGTCCTATGGACATATTTCTAGTTATATTGAAATTGGCTCTTAAATACTTACAAGAGGGTTAGAGCCTTTACACTTAAGAAACTATTAAGAACTTTTGTGAAAAGAACAAAATCATAAGTTTTATTTTATGATGAAAATTAATTGTAAGATTTTTTGTGCAAAGGTCTACAGAATTTACCCTTACTAGAGTTTTCTATCGATGAGGACACCAATCTCATTGAAGTTCAATCTGTGTACTATACATTTATATTAATTCCTTTTTGCATACAGAACTTTGAAAGTAGAAGCATTGATTTTTCAGAACCTATGTACTAGAAAAGACAAAAGGCATTGAAGAGGTTGGAACCATTAAATGGGAGCTTGCCTTAATCCTGCTCTTGTGTTGGGTGGTTGTATATTTCTGTATATGGAAAGGTCCTAAATCAACTGGAAAGGTGACTATAATCAAATTTCAGAGGATAATCAATTTTTTAGCTCACCTTGACGAAGTCGAGATGAGCTTATGCTATACCCTCGGCTTCGGCGTCGGTGTTAGCATTGGCATCCCGGTTAAAGTTTTAGGAGCAAGTTCCATTCCCAAGTAACTATAAGCCCTACCTGAACCAAACTTGCATGGATAATGCATCTAGGGATGGACACTACCACTTGCTTCGGATGCTGGATCTGACCTAGATTTTCCAGATGAATGACAAGGTTAAAGTTTTTGGAGCAGGTCCATTCCCAAGTACCAGGTAACTATAAGTCCTACCTGGACCAAACTTGCATGGATGATGCATCTAGGGATGGACACTACCACACTTGCTTCGGATGCTGGATCTGACCTAGATTTTCCAGATGAATGACCAGGTTAAAGTTTTTGGAGCAGGTCCATTCCCAAGTAACTATAAGCCCTACCGGGACCAAACTTGCATGGATGATGCATCCAGGGATGGACATTACCACGCTTGCTCCGGATGCTGGATCTGAATTAGATTTTCCAGATGAGTGACTAGGTTAAAGTTTTGTGGAGCAGGTCCATTCCCAGGTAACTTTAAGCCCTACCTTGACCAAACTTGCATGGATGATGCATCCAGGGATGGACATTACCACACTTGCTTCCGATGCTGGATCTGAGCTAGATTTTCCACATGTAAGACCAGGTTTAGATTTTGGAGCAGTCCCATTTCCAAGTAACTATATGCCCTACCTGGACCAAACTTTCATGGATGATGCATCTAGGAATGTACACTAACCAATCTGCTTTGAATGCTGGATCTGACATAGATTTTCCACATGAATGAATTTTTGCTATATTTTAACCAAATTAGCATGGATGATGTATCTAGGGATGGACACTTCCAGACTTGCTTTGGATTCTGAATCTAACCTACATTGTCCAGATGAGTGACCAGGGTAATTTTTTTAGGAGAAGCTTTATAATATTATGGCCTTTTATGATTAAACTTGCATAGATGAAAACTTCCAGACTTGCTTTGGATGTTGGAACTCACAACAATTTTCTTGATTACTAAACAGCTTAAAAGGTTTTTGGGCAGGTCTATTTCCAAGTAAGTATAAGTCCTACTTAAACCAAACTTGCATGGATATTGATCTTGGGATGTACCCTAAATAAAAAAAAAATTTATGTGAAATTTGCCTTAGTTATAGATAACATTCGTCGAGGTGAGCTTCGTAATCTTTGATTACCTATGTTTATTTTAAATGAAAAACACAAACATTATTATAATCAATAAAATATCGGGAGAAAACCTGTCTCAGTATTTGAAGATGAAAAAGGTAACATTTGATCTGCTAACTTTGACTTTTAACTGATTTTTAGGTTGTGTATTTCACTGCTACATTTCCCTACTTAGTCCTTGTCACATTATTGGTAAGGGGAGTAACTCTGCCAGGATCTTTAAATGGGATTATGTTCTTCATCAAACCAAAATGGGAGCTCCTTCTGGACCCGAAGGTATTGTCATTTAATACAGTATCATAAAAGTTTATATAGCGTACATGTTTGCTACAGCTTGGCTATTCTCATACATGTTATTACCTCTATCATAAGCTCACAGATATATAATGAAAACATTTCACATTTTTGTTCTATTTAATTTAGGAATTTTTTTTATACAGAAGACTATAAAAAATGAGTAACTTTTTTTTTTTGGATTTGACGTGCAGCTTTCTTTTACTTAAAAAAAAATGAGTTCAGTTATTTTTTTATTTTCATTTATTTATTTTTATTTTATATATTTATTTTTAGCTCACCTGAGCTGAAAGCTCAAGTGAGCTTTTCTGATCACCCGTTGTCCGTCGTCCGTCCGTCCGTCCGTCTGTAAACTTTTCACATTTTCAACTTCTTCTCAAGAACCACTGGGCCAAGTTTAACCAAACTTGGTACAAAGCATCCTTGGGTGAAGGGGAGTTTAAATTGTTAAAATAAAGGGCCAAGCCCCCTTCCAAGGGGAGATAATCAAGAAAAGACAAAAATAGGGTGGGGTCATTAAAAAATCTTCTTCTCAAGAACCACTGGGCCAGAAAAGCTGAAACTTATGTGAAAGCATCCTGGGGTAGTGTAGATTCTAAATTGTTCAAATCATGACCCCCGGGGGTAGGGCGGGGTAACAATAGGGAATCCAAGTTTTACATTGAAAAATGTAGAAAAAATCTTTAAAAATTTTCTTCTCAAGAACCACTGGGCCAGAAAAGCTGAAACTTATGTGAAAGCATCCTGGGGTAGTGTAGATTCTAAATTGTTCAAATCATGACCCCCGGGGGTAGGGCGGGGTAACAATAGGGAATCCAAGTTTTACATTGAAAAATGTAGAAAAAATCTTTAAAAATTTTCTTCTCAAGAACCACTGGGCCAGAAAAGCTGAAACTTATGTGGAAGCATCCTGGGGTAGTGTAGATTCTAAATTGTTAAAATCATGACCCCCGGGGGTAGGGCGGGGCCACAATAGGGAATCCAAGTTTTACATTGAAAAATGTAGAAAAAAATCTTTAAAAATCTTCTTCTCAAGAACCACTGGGCCAGAAAAGCTGAAACTTATGTGGAAGCATCCTGGGGTAGTGTAGATTCTAAATTGTTCAAATCATGACCCCCGGGGGTAGGGCGGGGCCACAATAGGGAATCCAAGTTTTACATTGAAATATGTAGAAAAAAATCTTTAAAAATTTTCTTCTCAAGAACCACTGGGCCAGAAAAGCTGAAACTTATGTGGAAGCATCCTGGGGTAGTGTAGATTCTAAATTGTTCAAATCATGACCCCTGGGGTAGGGCGGGGCCACAATAGGGAATCCAAGTTTTACATTGAAATATGTAAAAAAAATATCTTTAAAAATCTTCTTCTCAAGAACCACTGGGCCAGAAAAGCTGAAACATATGTGGAAGCATCCTTGGGTAGTGTAGATTCTAAATTGTTAAAATCATGACCCCTGGGGGAAGGGCGGGGCCACAATAGGTATTACAAGGGGGAAATCGGGTGAAAAACAGCAAGGCCAAAGTTACTCAGGTGAGCGTTGTGGTCCATGGGCCTCTTGTTTTGTCATTGCTACTAAAAATTTAAATATTTTAAGGACATTTAAGCCTTTTTAGCTCACCTGAGCCGAAGGCTCAAGTGAGCTTTTCTGATCACATTTTGTCCGTCGTCCGTCCGTCCGTCTGTCTGTCTGTCCGTCCGTCTGTAAACTTTTCACATTTTTGACTTCTTCTCAAGAACCACTGGGCCAATTTTGACCAAACTTGGTACAAAGCATTTTTGGGTGAAGGGGAATTAAAATTGTTAAAATGAAGGGCCAAGTCCCCTCACAAGGGGAGATAATCAAGAAAAGACAAAAATAGGGTGGGGTCATTAAAAAATCTTCTTCTCAAGAACCACAGGGCCAGTAAAGCTGAAACTTATATGGAAGCATCCTGGGGTAGTGTAGATTCTAAATTGTTCAAATCATGACCCCCGGGGGTAGGGCAGGGCCACAATGTGGAATCAATGTTTTACATAGAAATATATAGGAAAAATCTTTAAAAATCTTCTTCTCAAGAACCACTGGGCCAGAAAAGCTGAAACTTATATTGAAGCATCCTGGGGTAGTGTAGAATCTAAATTGTTCAAATCATGACCCCCGGGGGTAGGGCGGGGCCACAATAGGGAATCCAAGTTTTACATTGAAATATATAGGAAAAATCTTAAAAAATCTTCTTCTTAAGAACCACTGGGCCAGAAATACTGAAACTTATATGGAAGCATCCTGGGGTAGTGTAGATTCCAAATTGTTCAATTCATGACCCCCCGGGGGTAGGGCGGGGCCACAATAGGGAATCCAAGTTTTACATTGAAATATATAGGAAAAATCTTAAAAAATCTTCTTCTCAAGAACCACTGGGCCAGAAAAGCTGAAACTTATATGGAAGCATCCTGGGGTAGTGTAGAATCTAAATTGTTCAAATCATGACCCCCGGGGGTAGGGCGGGGCCACAATAGGGAATCCAAGTTTTACATTGAAATATATAGGAAAAATCTTAAAAAATCTTCTTCTCAAGAACCACAGGGCCAGAAAAGCTGAAACTTATATTGAAGCATGCTGGGGTAGTGTAGAATCTAAGTTGTTCAAATCATGACCCCCGGGGGTAGGGCGGGGCCACAATAGGGAATCCAAGTTTTACATTGAAATATATAGGAAAAATCTTTACAAATCTTCTTCTCAAGAACCACAGGGCCAGAAAAGCTGAAACTTATATGGAAGCATCCTGGGGTAGTGTAGATTATAAATTGTTCAAATCTTGACCCCTGGGGGTAGGGCGGGACACAATAGGGAATCCAAGTTTTACATTGAAATATATAAGAAAAATCTTTAAAAATCTTCTTTTCAAGAACCACTGGACCAATAAAGCTGAGACATATTTGGAAGCATCCTGAGGTAGTGTAGATTCTAAATTGTTCAAATCATGACCCCTGGGGGTAGGGCGGGGCCACAATAGGTATATTAAAAGGGGGGAAATCTGGTAAAGAACAGCATGGCCAAAGTTACTCAGGTGAGCGATGTGGCCCATGGGCCTCTTGTTTAAAAGTATTTTTAACTCTGCTACATTTTAAAGGGACATTTTGTTCACTATGTTTATAAACCAATACACAAACAAACAAACAAATCAGCAATTAATCATAACTCATTGTCCATGACTTATTCATTTTTTAAAAAGCCGCTCAGGTTGTATATATGTATTGATTTTTTTTTTGCGAGAGACATCGAGAGACAACTTCTTTATTTTGTCAACAGGTTTGGGTGAATGCAGCAGCCCAGAACTTCAATTCAATAGGCATAGCTTTCGGTGGCATCATTACAATGTCCAGTTATAACAAATTCCACAATAGAATCATAAAGTAAGTGGGCACAGGGTTTGAAACATAGATGCAAAGTTCATTAACTGTGCAGTGAATGATTGCCACACTATCAAAGTTAAAATGTGGGTATATACATGTATATTGCTCAATATACAGAACATTTCATTCCTTATACTCTAGATCAAAAAAAAAAAACAAAAACAAGAGGCCCATGGGCCACAACGCTCACCTGAATAACTTTGGCCCTGCTGCTCTTCACCAGACGATCTTTTTGTAATACTTGTAATACGTATTGTGGCCCCACCCTAACCATGGGGGTCTTGATTCTAACAATTTAAAATCTACACTACCCAAGGATGTTTCCATATAAGTTTCAGCTTTACTGGCCAAGAGGTTCTTGAGGAGAAAATTTTTAAAGATTTTTCCTATATATTTCAATGTAAAACTTGGATTCCCTATTGTGGCCCTGCCCTACCCCCAGGGGTCAAGATTTGAATAGTTTAGAATTTACGCTGCCTCAGGATGCTTCTACAAAAGTCTTAGCTTTCCTGACCAAGTGGTTCTTGAGAAGAAGATTTTTTTTTCTATATATTTCAATATAAAAACTTGGATTCCCTATTGTGACCCCGCCCTTCCCCGGGGGTCATGATTTTAACAATTTAGAATCTACACTAGCCTAGCATGCTTCCATGTAAGTTTCAGCTTTTCTGGCCCAATGGTTCTTGAGAAGAAGATTTTTAAAGATATTTTCTATGTGTATTTCAATGTAAAACTTGGATTCCCTATTATGGCCCTGCCCTTCCCCTAGGGGACATGATTTTAACAATTTAGAATCTACACTACCCCAGCATGCTTCCACATAAGCTTCAGCTTTTCTGGCCCAGTGGTTCTTGAGAAGAAGATTTTTAAAGATTTTTTCTATATATTTCAATGTAAAACTTGGATTCCCTATTGTGGCCCCGCCCTTCCCACAGGGGTCATGATTTGAACAATTTAGAATCTACACTACCCCAGGATGCTTCCACATAAGTTTCAGCTTTTCTGGCCCAGTGGTTCTTGAGAAGAAGATTTTTTAATGACCCCACTGTATTTTTGTCTTTTCTTGATTATCTCCCCTTGTAAGGGGGTTTGGCCCTTTATTTTAACAATTTAAACTTCCCTTTACTTAAGGATGCTTTGTACCAAATTTGGTTTAAATTGGCCCGGTGGTTCTTGAGAAGAAGTTGAAAATGTGAAAAGTTTACAGACGGATGGACAGACGGACGGACGACGGACAACGGATGATCAGAAAAGCTCACTTGAGCTTTCAGCTCAGGTGAGCTAAAAAAGCCAGGGATTACATTACATTATAATCTAAATGAGATAAAAAGAAAGGGTAGAATCCATACAAATTTTCAAATCAAGTGCATAAAAAAAGATTGTAACAATTAATGGCTTGGACATGTATTACAAAGTAAATGTTATTTTTTCATATAAAGGAATTTCTTCTATTTTAGTTTAAGATTTAATTTCAAATCTTTGTCTAGTCATAAAGACTGAAATTGTTGGGGTTTATTTTTGTTCTTGCTTGCTTTTTTTTTTTTAAATTAAATTTATTTTGTACAAAAATAAATTTAAATAGCCAATGCAGTTTTTGTTTTCATACAGCATATAAAGTCTAGAAGTAAATAATCTGTGTTTTTTTTTTCATTTGAAAAACTCTTCCCTTCCTTGAATCTTGCATATTTATGGCACCTTAAATGAATAGATGTTAGTATTGCATGAATGGGAATTATATATGAATACTTCATCTTCACACATTAAAACTGGGTAGAGTCTCTTCTCCCAGAAATGATCAGAACTCTCTTTTACTCATTTTGAATCATGTTACACATGAACTTACAAGCAAATATACATTTGATACTTACTGTGAAATCACTCATTTTTGTGGGGGTTTCATTTCCATTGTTTTCGAGGTATGAAGAGATCCTTAAATTCATGTCCACCTTGAAATGTAAATTGTCATATACATAACTATACTCAACAATCCTTCATCTAAGAAATCAAATCCCCATAAACCAATAGTCTTTCCTCAAATCATGAAAATTTGACCCCACGAAAATATGTGATTTTACAGGAGATTGATATAAATTGTATGTCAAATATGAAAATGGACAAAATCAATTGTATGAAATGGCATGGGGCAGACAGTTCACTGTTTATTTACTTCAAGTATTAGGGAATTTGTCATCTGTGAAATAATCTAAAAATCACTGTTTATAGATCTGTAACACATCTTGATATTTTGAGTAGTATACCAAAGTATTTAATCTGAAAGTTGTAAGATGATCTTTGAGTGAGGTGTTTGGTAAAAAATGGCATTATACATCCACAGTTTGCAAATCAGTAATGCAGGGAAAGTAATCAGGGGCAATATTAATGTTCTTCCATCTAAAAAAAAAATCTAGAAGACTTTAAATGCATTTATCCATGATGGATGTGATTGAACACATTTATACCTGGTGGATATTATTAAATACATTTCCTCATTATGAATATGATTGAATACATTTATCCATTATGGATATATTGGATGCATTTTTCATTGAGGGATATGATTGAATATATATATTCATAATGGATATGATTGAACATTTTTCCTTGATGAATATGCTTGAATACATTAATCATGGATGGATATGATTGGATTACTGATCCATGATGGATATGATTGTACATTTTTCCCAGATGAATATGCTTGAATACATTAATCATGGATGGATATGGTTGGATTATTGATCCATGATGGATATGATTGCATGCACAAATTTATTCATGACAGACATCATACATTTATCCATAGCAGATATCATTGAATTGAATACATTTATCCATGATGTATATGATTGCCTGTACATATTTATCCATGTTAGATATCATTGAATACTTTATCCATGGTGAATATGATTTAATAAAATTTATCAATTATGGATATGATTAAATATATCTATGATGGATATGGTTGATTGTATTTAACCTTCAAGTTGATGAATATGATCGAACATTTATCCATTATGGATAGGATTGAACATATTTATCCATGATGAATACAATTGAATACATTAATCCATGATGGATAAGATTGAATACATTTATCTATTTGGATATAACTGAATAATTAATCTATAATGGATATGATTAACATGTTCATCAATTATAGATATGATTAAACACACTTATCCATGATGGATATGATTGATTACATTTATTTATGGTGGATATGAGACTCTGTCATATTTTATTTTCAGGGATGTGCTGGTTATCGCTGTGGTTGACGCTATCACCTGTCTCCTAGCCGGATTCGCTATCTTCTCCATTCTCGGATATCTGGCTGAGAACCAGGGTAAATCTGTGGATGATGTTATACAACAAGGTCTGTATCAATTATATGAAGTTTATAATGAAATCAAGAATCATTTATGTATCATTGATGATTTAATTAGTATGTACATGTAGTTCAACTTCAGTTTTATTAAGCGTTAAGGGATGGACAGATATACATGGCCGTACATACTAGACTTTTATATTCTGATTTGTAATAAACAGCAGTAAAATAGCAAAATACTAGACCTGGTTAAACATTATAATTGTCCTGTACTTTCAAACGATCAAAGGCTGGACTTAAATTTGATGTTGTAGAGCTATAAATTTTTTTTTTCGAAAACTATGCAGCAAATGATCAAATGAAAGGACAAGATAGGCTAAGACCCCTTTTTGGCCCCTGGTTTGGGGTGTCTTTTAGAATGTTGCAACAGTTTATCAATAAAAACCTGTTGTCACCCCTGCCACAAAATGAGTAATGGTTCTAAGTTATGGGATACACAGAGGTCACAGGAAGGTCAGAAAATATGTCAATTTCCGAATTTTCTCATTTTTATGCAAATTTTCATCGAATTTAGAGCAAATTTTGATTCAGAAAAAATAGAACATAAGTTTGCCTATCTACCAGATTTATATATTTCATACACTAGTATCAGATGCATCTTTTGTATAAAAATCTCAGATAGGCAAGCTTGTGCTCTATGTTTCCCGAAGTGAAAAGTATCGCAAATTTGACAAAATTCCACAGAAATTGAGGAAATTCGGGAAAATGTCCTACTTTAGCACCCTCTTGTGCCCTCCATGAAAGCTTTGAATCAAAATTAGTGCTTGTTTAAAATCAAGCATCATCTTAAGTTCTTGACTACAAACTATCAAAATTTTAACTGTGTTCTGATTTTTACATCAAATAAGGGGCCAGATTCGGCCATTACTATACCTTGTCCTTTCAGTTAATTAAATATTCATACTTGATTATGAGACACTTTTTGCATGGCAGCTGCAATGTTTAATATGACTTACTTTTCATACAGTGAAAAATCAGCAAAGTAAAACCATTTGACTCCTAATATTTTTGTTTTCTTCAGGTCCCGGTCTAGTTTTTGTTATTTACCCAGAAGCTTTTACAACTATGCCCGTGCCTCAGCTCTTTGCAGCAGTATTCTTTATCATGTTGATTACACTAGGAGTTGATAGCCAAGTATGTACCTTTACCATGTTAATTACTGAAGAAGCACAAATTTTCATGGGGATAAAATTTCGTTGAATTGTCATCAAAAAAGGTTTCTTGGGCATTAAATTTCATTGTGTTGAAAATAACTGTATTCATTATATATAATCATATAAAAATTTCTTGTAAGATTTAATTTCGTTGATAATTATTAGCAACGAAATAAATGAAATTTAATCCCCAACGAATATTTCTGCTTTTACGGTGTGTTATTTTTATATAGCCATTGAGTAAAATAAAAAAGAAAAATGTCAGGCTCTTATCTGTGTATTATTTCAGAGAAAAATATTCTTTCTTAGAGTGTAAAAACCTTGATTAAAGTTGTAGCTGTATTGATAAAAAAAAAATGTCTAGCCAATACTTGAGGTCACAGATGAGAATGAATTGAAATTTAAAGCACACAATATTCATTGATGCATAAGCACTGTGTATAACCTTGAATCAAGATCATATATGTATAGCAAAGGTCAAGGTCATGGTAGCTGTTAAGTGAAAAGTTTGACATTTAATTTAATCAATGATTAATCTCACTCAGTTCATATTTCAAAGGTCAACTTCATTATACTACAAATATTAAGTTAATTTTTTTGTCTGGTACAAATCTTTGAAGTCAGAAAATGAAATAACATTAAGATTTACAAAACTTACCAATTTCCGACTGTTTTATGTAGGTCTTACCTGTCTAAATGATATTTTTGCCCTCCCCAGTTTGCATCAACAGAAGTGATAGTGACAACAATAAATGACCATTTTCATCATCAAGTCAAGAAGTACCTGAAAAGAAAAGAGGTGTTAGTGGCTATAGTCTGTGGTTTTTCTTTTCTCTGTGGGTTGCCAAATGTTACTCAGGTAAGAAATTCAGTGATTGCCACATTTGAAGTACACCTCAACAAAAAGTTTCAAATTAAATACATGTATACCCTACCTGGACCAAACATGGGCTATGTTTAAAATTGTAACAGCTAGTTAGTGTTATGAAGTTGAATGAATGTATAAGCTAGCCCTATTTAGGGATTAATTCATATAGTGCATTTAGCAGACCTAAGTATCTAGCCTAGCAGTTACCCTAGCAGCCACAATCTTGAACATAGTTTATGCAAATATGTCATGATGTGAAGTGGTAACTAGGATACCCAAAGTGAGTGACAAAAAGCGGCCCCGTAAATCAAAGGTTTATCTGTCCAAATGTTCTCAAAAAGAGAGCTTCATTTCTGTAGCTAGCTTTTCCCACATAGTAGCTAGCTGGCTAGCATATTGTTCAAGTTTGTAGCTCTGTAGTCTATTTAAGGAATGTTTTTAAGTTTTGTGTGATTTATTGGTGTGTAAATCACACAGACTTGTCATGTAGGCATATTTCATGAAGCGTGCTAGCGCGAGTTTCACCGTGTATATTTCGTGTGAGTATACACAAAAATGACTTTCAAATCAATTTCACAGTTGGCTTAGTAGAAAAACACAGCAAATGTAAATATATGATATTGAATGCACCCGGTTTAAGTCTTCAGCAGATCTTAAAGGCTTACTTGGACCATGTATGATGCATCGAGGAATCTGTATTTTGTAGATATTAATTGAAAGGCATTAATGAAGAACATTTTCCATTTTTTTTAGAAAAAGTCCTTGTCATGTCCGTCTGTCTTTCCGTCACACTTTGCGTTTAGCTCTGTTCAAAGCTCAGTTTCAGAGAACTATCCAAGATATTTTTATCAAACTTCATATGCTGATAGATATTGATGAAGGCTATGCAACTGCATAAACATTTTTTTACCTTGACCTTTCCTTTGACCTTGACCTCACTTTTCTTAAATCAGTGTTTAGCTCTGTTTTAAAGATACCATTCAAGATAGTGTAATCAAACTTCATATGTAGATACATACTGATGTAAGCTTTTCAACCGCATCAACATTTTTTGACCTTGACCTTTCTTTTTAACCTTGACCTCACTTTCCTTCAATTAGTGTTTTGCTCAGTAACAATGAAATCATTCAAGATATTTTTATCAAACTTCATATGCTGATACATACTGGTTAGAGCTATTCAACTGCATCAATATTTTTTGACCTTCACCTTTCCTTTGACCTTGACCTCACTTTTCTTAAATTTGTGTTTAACTCAGTTTTAAAGAAACCATTCAATATAATGTTGTCAAACTTCATATGGTGATACATATTGATGAGAGCTATTCAACTGCATCAACATTTTTTGACCTTTACCTTTCCTTTGACCTTGACCTCACTTTTCTTAAATTAGTGTCAAACTTCATATGCTGATACATGCTGGTGTAAGCTATTAAACTGCATCAGTATTTTTGGACCTTGACCTTTCCTTTGACCTTGACCTCACTTTTCTCAATTTGTGTTAAACTCAGTTTTAAAGAAACCATTCATAAAATTTTTTATCAAACTTCATATGCTGATGTAACTTCATCATACTGATGTAACCTTTTCAACTGCATCAACATTTTTTGACCTTGACCTTTCCTTTGACCATAACTTCATTTAAGAAATAAATAACAAGATGGGAATTGAAGTGGGTCGGTCACGTGATCAAATTCTGTGAAGGCCGAAGGCCTTCTCAGAAGATTTGATCACGTACCGACCCACTTCAATTCCCATTGAAGTTTTTTAACTTGTTATTTATTACTTATATATACATTTGAGATGGACAATCGAATGTAATCGAATATAAATATTGCACTAACTGTACGTCGTAGATTTTGACAAATTACGCTAGGTGTAAATCGGCTTGAAAAGCGGTTACACTTCAAATTCATCTGGCAAAGGATTGTTTTGTAGGGAATATTCTGTGAAAGGCTTCTTGTGATCAATTATTATAGTGAGCATATTGGTGTCTGGGAATTTTTGGATTCATGAGAACCCATATTCGATGTTAAAAAACACAAGAAACACGTCCGATGTTTGATACTAAAAAGTTGGAGGAATTTCGGTCGGAAACGGATGGATGGAGACACTTGTCCGGACCAGATAACTTGAAATCAAGTACAAAATTTGATCAAAAACAGAAAATCTACGATTTCAGTAAGGCATATTTATTAATTTATGATGTTGACATGGAGACACTGGCGACAGCTTACATTGTTAAGACAACGTCACAACGATCTCGATGATGGAGGTGTGCCTACCGAACTTCCAAAGTGCAGTGTTTGTTAGCTGTTTGTGGCGTGATTGCATTACATTGATATTTTTCAACAGATTTTCAAATTTATTGTGAGTAAAGTTTAATGGGAAAAAAATTATAGCATTCAGAGGTCTGCGAGAAAAATAAGGGTAAACGTTGAGACTATGCAGCTCAGACATGAAACTTATAACACGTAGTTTTCTATTTTCTATATAAAATCGATCAAGAACTGTATTAAATACTCGTTTACATTGTAAATAAAATGATTATTATTTTACTTGCGTATTTTGTACATTTTTATGCATGAAAAACATGCTATATTGCTTAGTGGAGTAAGTCTTTAATATGTAGATATTACTGCGCTGTGTGATTAGGTCACGTAATGACCTATGACCTTCGAAAAACTTCATACAGGTATGAAGATATTTGCTCTCTGGATGTTTATATAATAGAGAGATACCACAAATGTATATTTTTATTTTTAATTAGTGTTTAGCTCAGTTTTTAATAAACCATTCAAAAACCATTCAGAATGTTTTTATCAAACTTAATATGCTGATACGTATTTGTGAGAACTATTCAACTGCATCAAAAACGGTTGACCTTGAACTTTCCTATGACCTTGACCTCACTTTTCTTAAATTTGCATTTTGGTTAATTTTAAAGAAACCATTTAAGATATATTTATGTAAGCTTATGCACTAATACATAATTTGGTAAAAATTTATCATCTATATGCAACTTTTTAGATTTCAATTTCAATTTTAAAGAAACCATTCAAGATATTCTCATCAAATTTCATACACTAATACAAATTTTCATTTTGCATTACTAATATACCCTCGGCGGGGCATTCATGTCCTATGGACATATTTCTAGTTTAGTGTATAAAAAGATAAAGCAGTTTATTGTTCAGTGTATATAGGGTGATTTTACACTCTTTGTTTTATTTTTAGGGAGGATATTACTTTTTTTCACTGATTGATCATTATGCAGCAGCTGTGTCACTCATGTATCTGGCATTTTTCGAAGTCATTGCAATCACCTGGTTCTATGGTAAGTGTTCAATTCAAATTATACTGATTTATACTGAGTAAATTGTAACAGGACTTCCAATTTTTGTTTCTAGAGAAGCACTATATTCTGAAACTGGATGGGAAACATTAAAAGCCAGGCGATATATTGCAAAAATGTCAACTATGTTCAAAATTCACACGGGAAGATACCTGAATATTTGCACAATATTGTCCCCAGTAAACGTGAACATGTATCAACATACAATACTCGTAATAAAGAAGATTATGTTGTTCCGAGATGCAGATTAGAATTATTTAGGAATTCCTTCATACCCAATGCTATAAAACAATGGAATTTACTAAAAATAGAGGTTAGGGAAGCCATCTCAATTAATTCATTCCGAAAAAAACTTGGTAGGAAAACTGAAAAATCCACCATCATACTTTTCCTATGGAAAGCAATACATCAATATCATTCATACTAAGCTAAGACATTATTGTATACTAAACTATGATTTATATAAACGAAATATTATTAATAGTCCTTCGTGTTCATGCGGAAAACGCGAAGATGTGTAGCATTTCTTTTTTGCATGCAAAAATTATTACAATGCTAGAAATACTCTTTTCAATCGCTTGTTCATGCTTGAATTGGTCACTATTGATTTAAACCTATTACTATATGGTGATGAAAATTTGCCTTTACAGATAAATAACTTTTTTTTTTCTGCTGTTCATAAATTTATTGATGAAACATGTAGATTTTCTTAGTTGATATGTTAAATTTTATTTGTATCATTTATATTATTTTTCTTTAATTTGCATGACATACTGTATTATATAAGGAGAGGAACTAGTAAGTTATTTTAGAACTTGTTTCCAATCCTTTTGATTTAATCAATAAAATATGTTCAAAACAAAAAAACTGAGTAAATCTGAAATCCTGAGATTTACACATATTTTTTTCTGTAAAAATGTGGTTAAAGAAATACAGCTGAACTTTGGTATCTCAGGCACTGATATCTCGAATACCATGGATATGTCGAAGTGATTTTGAAGTCCCAATTGCTTATTCGTTAAGTAAATAACCCTGGATATCTTGAACCCTCGGATATCTCAAAGTATTTTCTCGGTCCCATTGGGTTTCAGATTACGAGTTTTGACTGTATATACTATATATATGGTGGGGAAAAAAATTGAACAAGATTCCCTTTGATTTAGTAATCAATTGCTTGTATTTTAGGTGCTCGCCGCTTGGGTAGAAATGTCAGGGAAATGAATGGCAGCCCACCTAATGTTTTCTTCATTGTATGTTGGTACTTTATCTCGCCAGTGTTCATTTTTGTAAGTTGTCATTAGATACATGAATTTGACAGGATAATATCTTGTTAAAAATTCTTAATATATTTCACTGCATATTACTGAAAAAACAATCTACAATTATTTCAAGTCAAAGCTCTGTCTAGTTACTTTATTGAATATAAACAGATGTATTTTTTATCCACAGGGTATATGGTTGTTCAGCATGATTAGCTACCGTCCATTTCAGCTGGATGATTATCAGTACCCCATCTGGGCAACAGTACTTGGGTGGTTTATAGCAGCCTTGTCTGTGCTCTGTGTTCCCATAGGAATGATTCACTCTATCTATCAGGCCAAGGGAAACAACTTGTGGCAGGTAAGTTTATTTCCCTGTAAGGTTATGGCTTGTGCCATGTATCATATCAAGAATTTTTGACATTGTTTACACACTGTAGAGAAAAATTTTGCTCTATACCATAGGAGCTGGTGGCTTTGGCTTTGCTATCAGTGGTGAGTTGATATGTGGCCTTGTTAACTTTCCTGTAGGTGATGATTTGATATACTGACCTTGTTAACTTTTCAGTAGGTGATGATTTGATATACTGACCTTGTTAACTTTTCAGTAGGTGATGATTTGATATGCTGGCCTTGTTAACTTTTCAGTAGGTGATGATTTGATATACTGACCTTGTTAACTTTTCAGTAGGTGATGATTTGATATACTGACCTTGTTAACTTTTCAGTAGGTGATGATTTGATATGCTGGCCTTGTTAACTTTTCAGTAGGTGATGATTTGATATACTGACCTTGTTAACTTTTCAGTAGGTGATGATTTGATATACTGACCTTGTTAACTTTTCAGTAGGTGATGATTTGATATGCTGGCCTTGTTAACTTTTCAGTAGGTGATGATTTGATATGCTGGTCTTGTTAACTTTCCTGTAGGTGATGATTTGATATGCTGGCCTTGTTAACTTTCCTGTAGGTGATGATTTGATATAGTGGCCTTGTAAACTTTCCTGTAGGTGATGGTTTGATATACTGACCTTGTTAACTTTCCTGTAGGTGATGATTTGATATGCTGGCCTTGTTAACTTTTCAGTAGGTGACGATTTGATATGCTGGCTTTGTTAACTTTTCAGTAGGTGATGATTTGATATGCTGGCCTTGTTAACTTTTCAGTAGGTGATGATTTGATATGCTGGCCTTGTTAACTTTCCTGTAGGTGATGATTTGATATAGTGGCCTTGTTAACTTTCCTGTAGGTGATGGTTTGATATACTGGCCTTGTTAACTTTTCAGTAGGTGATGATTTGATATAGTGGCCTTGTTAACTTTTCAGTAGGTTATGATTTGATATGCTGGCTTTGTTAACTTTTCAGTAGGTGATGATTTGATATACTGGCCTTGTTAACTTTTCAGTAGGTGATGATTTGATATGCTGGCCTTGTTAACTTTTCAGTAGGTGATGATTTAATATGCTGACCTTGTTAACTTTTCAGTAGGTGATGATTTGATATAGTGGCCTTGTTAACTTTCCTGTAGGTGATGGTTTGATATACTGGCCTTGTTAACTTTTCAGTAGGTGATGATTTGATATGCTGGCCTTGTTAACTCTTCAGTAGGTGATGATTTGATATGCTGGCTTTGTTAACTTTCCTGTAGGTGATGGTTTGATATACTGACCTTGTTAACTTTCCTGTAGGTGATGATTTGATATGCTGGCCTTCTTAACTTTTCAGTAGGTGACAATTTGATATGCTGGCTTTGTTAACTTTCCTGTAGGTGATGATTTGATATGCTGGCCTTGTTAACTTTCCTGTAGGTGATGATTTGATATAGTGGCCTTGTTAACTTTCCTGTAGGTGATGGTTTGATATACTGGCCTTGTTAACTTTTCAGTAGGTGATGATTTGATATGCTGGCCTTGTTAACTTTTCAGTAGGTGATGATTTGATATGCTGGCTTTGTTAACTTTTCAGTAGGTGATGATTTGATATGCTGGCCTTGTTAACTTTTCAGTAGGTGATGATTTGATATGCTGGCCTTGTTAACTTTTCAGTAGGTGATGATTTGATATGCTGGCCTTGTTAACTTTCCTGTAGGTGATGATTTGATATAGTGGCCTTGTTAACTTTCCTGTAGGTGATGGTTTGATATACTGGCCTTGTTAACTTTTCAGTAGGTGATGATTTGATATACTGACCTTGTTAACTTTTCAGTAGGTGATGATTTGATATGCTGGCCTTGTTAACTTTTCAGTAGGTGATGATTTGATATGCTGACCTTGTTAACTTTTCAGTAGGTAATGATTTGATATAGTGGCCTTGTTAGCTTTTCAGTAGGTTATGATTTGATATGCTGGCTTTGTTAACTTTTCAGTAGGTGATGATTTGATATACTGACCTTGTTAACTTTTCTGTAGGTGATAATTTGATATGCTGGCCTTGTTAACTTTTCAGTAGGTTATGATTTGATATACTGACCTTGTTAACTTTTCAGTAGGTGATGATTTGATATGCTGGCCTTGTTAACTTTTCAGTAGGTGATGATTTGATATGCTGGTCTTGTTAACTTTCCTGTAGGTGATGATTTGATATGCTGGCCTTGTTAACTTTCCTGTAGGTGATGATTTGATATAGTGGCCTTGTAAACTTTCCTGTAGGTGATGGTTTGATATACTGACCTTGTTAACTTTCCTGTAGGTGATGATTTGATATGCTGGCCTTGTTAACTTTTCAGTAGGTGACGATTTGATATGCTGGCTTTGTTAACTTTTCAGTAGGTGATGATTTGATATGCTGGCCTTGTTAACTTTCCTGTAGGTGATGATTTGATATAGTGGCCTTGTTAACTTTCCTGTAGGTGATGGTTTGATATACTGGCCTTGTTAACTTTTCAGTAGGTGATGATTTGATATGCTGGCCTTGTTAACTTTTCAGTAGGTGATGATTTGATATGCTGGCTTTGTTAACTTTTCAGTAGGTGATGATTTGATATGCTGGCCTTGTTAACTTTTCAGTAGGTGATGATTTGATATGCTGGCCTTGTTAACTTTTCAGTAGGTGATGATTTAATATGCTGACCTTGTTAACTTTTCAGTAGGTAATGATTTGATATAGTGGCCTTGTTAACTTTTCAGTAGGTTATGATTTGATATGCTGGCTTTGTTAACTTTTCAGTAGGTGATGATTTGATATACTGGCCTTGTTAACTTTTCAGTAGGTGATGATTTGATATGCTGGCCTTGTTAACTTTTCAGTAGGTGATGATTTAATATGCTGACCTTGTTAACTTTTCAGTAGGTGATGATTTGATATAGTGGCCTTGTTAACTTTTCAGTAGGTGATGATTTAATATGCTGACCTTGTTAACTTTTCAGTAGGTAATGATTTGATATAGTGGCCTTGTTAACTTTTCAGTAGGTTATGATTTGATATGCTGGCTTTGTTAACTTTTCAGTAGGTAATGATTTGATATAGTGGCCTTGTTAACTTTTCAGTAGGTTATGATTTGATATGCTGGCCTTGTTAACTTTTCAGTAGGTGATGATTTGATATACTGACCTTGTTAACTTTTCAGTAGGTAATGATTTGATACATGTATGCTGGTCTTGATATCTTTCCTGTAGGTGATGATTTGATATAGTGGCCTTGTTAACTTTTCAGTAGGTGATGATTTGATATGCTGGCTTTGTTAACTTTCCCGTGGGTGATGATTTGATATGCTGGCCTTGTAAACTTTCCTGTAGGTGATGATTTAATATGCTGACCTTGTTAACTTTTCAGTAGGTAATGATTTGATACATGTATGCTGGTCTTGATATCTTTCCTGTAGGTGATGATTTCACATACTGGCCTTAATAACTTTCCTGTAGGTGATTATTTGATATGTTGGTCTTGTTAACTTTCCCGTGGGTGATGGTTTGATATGCTGCCTTGTTAATTTTCCTGTAGGTGATGATTTGATATGCTGCCTTGTTAATTTTCCTGTAGGTGATGATTTGATATGCTGGCCTTGTTAACTTTCCAGTAGGTGATGAATTTACCCGGTATATGCTGCCTTGTAAGCATTGCTGTTGATGTTTCACTAAATTTGATATACTGCCCTCGTTAGGTTTTCTGTCATTGGCAGTTAGATATGTTTGCCTTGTTGGCTTTTGTGTCATGGCATTTCTTAGCTATGTTAAGGAAGTGTGAACCCAGGCCTTCCTTAATGAAGCTGAGTATGAGCATTCTATTTGTTGTTAATTTGATATGCTTGCCTCATTAGTCTTGTGGAGGAAAATGATAAGTCTTATTAAACTGTCAGTCTTTATAAGGATAGGACAAAACAGGCTGTACAAATTTCTCAACTTTGATCCTTCGATTTTTTTTCACATATCCACAAAACCCTTTCTTCCCATCATTGTGATGGCTAGTCTAGTTGTTACCTAAAAGTTGTTTACTTTTTTTACAGAAATTGAGAAACTCCATTGTGTCACCATTAGAAGAACATACAGATGCCTCATATCCGAGTCTGAGTAATGGAGACATGGTTCTTCATGTCAATGCAGAGAAAAAGGAACCTCTTCAACCATATTAAATTTAATATTAATCTGAGAAATAAGGGTAATTGTAAGAATAAGGCATAATAATATTTGTTGTACTGAACCATTGTTTTATACCAATTTTTGTCAATTTTTTTTTCTTTGTTTTATTATGTACATTTCAAATAGGGGTGAAAATTTCACTATTAAGTTGTACATAGTGGACTTATCAAATTATCGAGGATTAAGCAGATGTAAGGACATTTGAATATCAAGTAGAACCATGCAATTTGAATGATCATAACATACATTCTTTTCTTTTGTTCCCCCTTTTTGATGACTCAAAAACAGTGCTGTCTAGTTCAAAAACAAAACCTGTGTTAAATATGCTTGAAATGAAAACAGGTAATCATTTCAAGTGAATGAGGGCATAAATATCACAGAAAAAACATGAATTTACTCCATTCCTGAACTTCTTCAATTTTCTTAAATTTTCATTAATTTCATGCATTGCCAACATTTTGTTTATGAAAACCTGTCTTGATAAATTGATAAATTACATATTGGGAAAAATCAGTCAAATTTCTAAGACATCACCTCTTTTGTGATGCTGCAAATGAAAATAATTATTGGTTCTGAAGCATGTAGGCCTATGACTTTAAATTCTTCATTAGGAACATAAAAAAATTTCACCCATGTTTTGAATTTTATGTCAGATGTGGGGCCAGTACTTACTATGCTGTTGAGTTGTTCCTAGTTTAAGTAAGAACTACAATTTTTTGTTGGTTTTTTTTTTCATACATATAGTTTTCTCCTGAATTCTGAAAAAGCATGTATATTTAGTTATTGAGAAAAATAGTTTTAAAAAAAGTTTTACAGTAAAACTCGGTTATATAGAACTCACTTATAAGGAAATCTTGATTATAAGGAACTTTTTATGAATCTCAAAGAGATCTTTTCACTATTTTCTTATATGGATATAAAGAACCTCAGTTATAAGGAAGGAGAATTTGAGGTCCCAGTGACTTCCTTATAACTAAGTTTTACTGTATTTAGATTGCATTTTAAATTGAATGAATTGAAGAATAACGAGGATGCATGTTTTGTGACTTCGTACATGTAATAAGTAATGTAATATACTTCTCACGATTTTACTTTGTGGTTTTTTTCAGGAAGAAAACTATAGCATTGTTGACATTTTTTTCAGAATACCATGAATTTTAGAACATTGTACGTAGAAGATTTAAAGCAGTTATAGTGTGTGTTATTGTATTTTGTTTTTCATTGATAAGCCAGGCAATTTAAGCTGTATGGTGATTGTAGATCTTTTATTAGCACTTTATTATTGATTAAAATCATTTGTGTAATATACAGGCACACAAAGAACATAGCAATATGTTGATGAAACTTGAAAAAAAAAGTTTTGTGACTATGCAGGCATTCAAATGTTTGGAAAAGCATTGTGATATTTTTTTCTATTTAGGAATTTTTTTTAGATACCAGTATTTAAAAGTTAATTTTATAGTCTTTTTTTTTTTAATGAAAAGGACTTGTGTACAGGAATGCATAAGCAGAAATATTATATACTGAAGTATGGTGTAAAAACTTGTGTTATCATATGACCAGAATGACATTCCATTGGTCAGTAGGATACTTGACCTCCTCCAGTCCTGGGATGAAGGTACCCCGGTCCTGGGGTGAAGGTACTTGATCTGCCCCAGTCCTGGGGTGGAGGTGAATGTACTTGATTTGCCCCCTAGTCCTGGGGTGGCTTTTTAATTATTTATCTACCATAAGTTGTAGAAATCTGATACAATAAGCTGGTCTTGCACTATTTTTAAATTACAATTTATATTCATTAGAATTTTATTGAAGCATGTACAAGTACATGTACTGTTTGAATTTTTAACAACTCCTTTTACAATGTTGTGTGTCTTGTGAAAGAAAAGAAGAATGAAGAGATTTAAAAGAAAAATGGATTATTGTTTTATTTATGTTTGTGCCAGTGCAAAGTTAGACAATGTTTAAAAAAATGGATTAAGGAAGCTGTAAACACTGCATACCAAAGAGTTCTAATATTGAAGGCTACCTTCATGTAGCTAGAGTGGTCTGACCTTAAGGACATTGGCCAAGCCAGGGCTTTCCGGAGAAAAAAGGTTTAATACATGGGTTTTTTCACTTGTAAAATAGTGATTAAGAGTGATCTCCCGTGTAGAATTCTCTAAGCGGTGAAAACCAATAAAGCGTATGTTATAGAGGTAAACAAAAGCACGTGTACTTCTTCAACGGGTAGAATCATCTATACAGCAAGAAAGAAAAGTAGTAATGGTTTTGTTGTACATTGTATTCAGGGACAAAGAGCAAACAGGTCGTCATTTACCATAGTTATGCTCAGTATGCTGGGAAGGGCATAGATGTGACATATGCTGACAGGTAGGTCGACCATGCCGACTGAGAACAGTTCTTAGGTCGTGTGAAGGAATCAGCATTTAGTAATTACGAATAAAAGTTAAAAATAAATCCATGCCAATATTTTTATGACAATGTGTTTCAATCAATTCAGTCAATTACATGATAAAAACAACCAACCAGTCTCTTGACCAATTTTAGCTGTTAAGGGACGCAACTCAAAAATGATGATCGGTGCCGGTATATCCATGTCTTGTTTCTATATATACATTTTCAACCAAAATATCTAGAAGTCATAGGAAATGAAGTTACAAAATGTATATAATACAAAAACTGTATGAAATAAATGTGTTTTGAAGAAATATTATGGTGAAAAATTATGTAGGTCCCTTTTATCAACATTTTACATAGGAAATGCATTACGAATTGTAAAAACACTAATTTGACAAAATATAAAAAAGAATGCTGGATTGGTAGGTAAAACGATCCAGAATATAGCCTATTTAGTACATTTAAACCTACTCAAAAGTTCTTGAAAAATTCTATACAATAACCAGGAACCTTGCCAATGGGAATCTACATTTAATGACATAATTTATAATGGATTAATAAAGTATTTTTAACACTTATTCAATAATTAGGCCAAAGGTAACTGAATACATTATTTCCATTAATTTTCCCAGTGTAAGTAAACAATGCAGATTTATGTTCACAGATAGTTCATTGTCTTTAAACAATTGGGGGGGGGGGGGATAAGGCAGGTACCCTATGTAGAAAATGTAACTAGATACACTCAATATGTACACCTTTATATGACATATTTTTCTCAAAGTCTATAAGGCACTTTTCACTGGTGTTAAGAGCTTCCTTAAACAGATTTTAAAATAAATGTGGAGACTATCATCTAAAATAAGGCAAATTCTCTTACTTAATGAGTTTTTAATTGGGTTGTTAACTTAATCATTTTGAGAGTACATAAACGCCCATTTGGAATTTTTAAACAATTCAGTCTAAATCTGCACTGGTAGTAAGCATTCCTATATGTGTTTAGTTCAGGCTGGGCTTGTACCTTTGAAATGGATCTGCTTCAAGAACTTCAACTAATTCATCAGTCTAGAACACTGTGCTCAAATGCAGCAATTAAGAAGTGCACATCTCTTGGATGTATGACCCATGTAAATTACCTCCAAAATGGAGACATAATTTAAGGGAATGAAAATAAAACCCTATCATAAGAAATATAGGTCATGTGCAGTATCTTGTATAAGGCTGTTTATAGTTTTATGAATGGACATCAATGAATATTTGAATATTCAAATATTCCTTTGATGAGTTGATATTGGAATGCAAATTTATGATTCAAACATGAACACATGAATTTTTTTTTTAGCTCACCTGGCCCATTAGGCCAAGTTAACCTATGCCTTCACTTGGTGTCATCACTGTTCATTGTCTTCATAAACTTTTTCAAAAATGTTCCCCTCTGAAACTACTGGGGAGATTTTTCTGAAGCTGTATTATGCCCCGCCATGAATATGGCTGGGGCATAAAGTGTTTGTCATGCCCATCTTCCATCACACTTTCCGTTTACCTCATGCAGTTTCAAAGTAACTATTCAAGACATCTTTATCAAACTTTAGATGCTGATGCATATTGATGAGCATTCTTCAACTGCATCAACAATTTTTGACCTTGACCCTCCCTGTAACCTTGTCCTCACTTTTCCTAAATAAGTGTTAAGCTGAGTTTCAAAGATTCTAAACAAACTTTATATGTTGATACATACTGATGAGAACGATTCAACTTCATCAACATTTTTTGACCTTGACATTTCTTTTGACTCTGAATTTGCTTTTCTTAAATCTGTGTTTAGCTAGATTTCAAAGATCTATTCAAGATATTTTATCAAAACTTCATATGCTGATGAGAGCTATTCAACTGCATCAACATTTTTTAGCATTGATCTTTCCTTTGACCTCACTTTCTCAAATTATATCAATTTAAAAGAAACTGAAGTTATTTTTATCAAACCTTATATGCTTATACAAGCTGTTCAACAGCATCAATGTGTTTTGCCTTGACCTTTCCTTAGACCTTGACCTCACTTTTCTTAAAATAGTATTAAGCTCAGTTTCAAAGAAACTATCAAAGATATTTTAATCAAACCCAATATGCTAATACACATTTGTGAGAGCTATTCAACTGCATCAACATTTTGACCTTGACCTTTCCTTTGACATAAAATTTGTGTTTAGCTAAATTTCAAAGAGACTATTTCATATATTTTTATCAAAATTTATATGCTTATACATATTGATGAGAGTATTCAATGGCATCAACATTTTTGACCTCAAGTTGCGTTTCCTTTTATATTGACCTCACTTTTTTCAAATTTGTGTTTAGCTCAGTTTCAAAGAAATATTGATTTCAGATTTTTTTATGTAATCTTATACATTGATGCATATTTGGTGAGAATTTATCAACTGTGTCCGTTTTTTTTTACCTTGACCTTTCCAATGACCTTTGACTTTATTATTTATTGTGTATTAAATTTCGGTTTTAAAGAAACTATTCAAGATGTTTCCATCAAACTTTATGCACTAATACAAATTTTAATATTGCATTACTAATGGACCCAGGGTTGGACATTCATGTCCTATGGACATAGAAGAAATGGTATGGGGCATGTCCTCTATAAAAGCTCC